CCACTTGGAAGAGCAAAGACCAGCTCTTAGGTGACAAGGTCAGAGGGCCCCTGTTTAGCCCTCCACCTCCAGGTCAGTACATATTACAGCGTAAGATTTTGGGCAGAGCTGAGACACTGATACCAGGACAATGACTGAGTGATGAGCTTATATGATCACTGTTGAGGATTTGTGAAGGAGCCCAAGTTTATGGAATTTTTGGACTAAAACAATACAAGATTTGTCAGATTATGCACTTTATAGAGTTTGTTTATTACAGCAAATGCAGTAGAAAAAATGATTTCTTAACTGTTGCTTATTGGCTAAAACATTTCTACAAGCCAGAGGTGGTCAGCTGACTGAAGTATGAACATAAGGGCATCTGAAAGTCAAGACAAAAATGTAGACAATCAAACATATGAGTTTTTCTATTTCACACATTTTTGGTCTGTGATAAATTGCCAACAAGACAGAACAGAAGGAGTGAGCAGCTGCATACTGAATGTTACATAAACCCCTCTGCACTCCTCTTTGTTGGCAAGACACATTTCCACTAAGTTGCTCTGTAATTTGTATATTAGCACAGATAGCTCAGAGATGGCAAAATGGCTGAATATGCGGTGTCAGACATCGCTGTCATTGCTAGGGGATGTTTACAGTAAGTAAATATTCCACCAGCCTCAGGGACGTCAGGCTCTTCAGAACAGTTACACAAAGTGTTGTTAGTTTTTATTGTCATATATCTGACTAACTGACAATGAGGAAAAATACCTTAAGGTAATAATAATATTGTAAGTCAACTTATGGATTCAAAATTAAAATGTAATTTGCATACAGTCATCATATGTATATGTAAATAAACTGAGACACAGTAAACTGTATTTCTACTCATACACAATATTTTCATCAATTATCCCATGATCAAGAATTAACACTTAAATTGAGAAAATGTACTTTACTATCAAAATGTATGTAATTTTAGTTTATAATGAGTTGCATCAGCTAATGTATTTATGAAAACACATTATGAACAACCATACACACACTGTAGACAAGTGATTCTCTACGGGGGGTGGCACTGCCCCCCAGTGGGTGTTCAGAGAACGTCAGGGGGTGGTGGATGTCTGCCAGAGGTGAGAGGGGCATTCGGATGCTAATGGTGGTTGCACACGCGCCGTCCCCACAAATCCAGTTTGGCTTTAAATGCAGCTACTTTATCTGCCAACTTGAAGACAGTTGTCATTTTCCCCTGAAGTGACAGATTGAGTTCATTGAGCAGGCTGAATATGTCCACAAGTAAGCCAGTTTTGGCGCTCAAGTGACCGAGATGTAACCGAGAGAATGCGGTCATTTTTCAAAATAAAAGATCGTTCAGACTCAGATAATAAATAAAACGGAAATCATTAATGATTTCTTGTGCGGCCCGGTACCAATTGATCCACGGACCGGTACCGGTCCGCGGCCCGGAGGTTGGGGACCACTGCTCTACGGGGGGTGGCACTGGACTATGCAGATTGTGTGTGAGTTAATTATGCATCAGTCAGCTAGTTATACCCAGCGGCTCATGCTGTTTTCCCACACTTAACACTGTGAGGTGTGGTGTCTTCAGTCTTCTTCCCTTGTAATTTGTCTTATTTAAGGTAAATATACTCAATGAGGCACTGTAAAATTGTATACATGTAGATAATAGTTATTAATATGTTGTCACTGTTGAATGTGAGGAAAGATATTTTTTCATATTGTGTAATTTAAAAGTTTCAGCTAATGGAGTTTAAGCTAATGGAGTTTATGCAAACAGTGGGAACGACTGGAGACTTCAGGACTCTGCCGTGGAGTCCACATTATGTTTAACTCACCATTGTAAGGTTTGTAATGTCCTGTCTGTTTGAGCAGGGATTCGGTCAAGTACTTTACATATAGTCAGAGTACAGAAACCAGTTAAACCTGTAAAACCTCAGGTACGCTTAAGCTCAAGTTAAGAGAGCAGCAGCAGCAAATGCGGCCACAGGGCTTTCGCTAATGTACATTAGTGTAAGGGTGGTTAAGAGATTTCAACTTGACTTAAGGAGGTGTTCATGCAAAGCAGATTAAGTACCACTGCTATGGGCTGATCAGTATCAGTCTCTTAAAACTTTTTCAGCATTAGCAAAATTTGTTCTGAAGAAAAATTCATAACCTCCAAAGTTCACTTAATGACAGAGCAAATGTTTGCACACTGTAGATCATCAAACAGAAAATGTGTAGACTCAAACATAAATATTTATGTTAATGAAAAAAGATGTAATATTTTCAAGCTAATTCAATTTGAAGTGTCAAACATTTATTTTTAGACCACTTCAGAAATTATAAACAGAAGTTCTTCTGATCTGAGGTCTTTTAGCTTTATGAGTTGAATGAACTGCTAAGAGTTCATTTAACTCATTAAATTGTGTTTATAAAGAAATAAAACTAGTATATCAGTACACTTCCCAGCACGCATTGTCTGAGAATCTGAAACTCTTCTTTTTGTCGTTTGAAGAAAACATTCGTAATGGAAACGCTTGTCTTTAATGACTGCTGGTTGTTTATTTTTATAATAATGAAAATTAGCAAACCATGATCAAGGTTAAGGTTGACCTGGGTTCCCAGTCCTGTACACTTTCAGATTAACACAATGTCTTTGTAGTGATTCTAGTGGCTCAACATGACCATGTTCATCATGTTAAATGAAGAACTTTGCCTCATTTTCACATTTTGAAAACTCATAACTGTTAACCTGGGGCAAACTTTACACAACTGACCACATTTGTTATTGTTGAAATAGATAGGTTTAACCAACTACCAAGAAATGTTCAATAAATTAACAACAAACAAGTTTACACAACAAACTATTTTAATTAAGCTGATCTAAATAAGTACAATCAACTACCTAAGCAGTTAAAAAATTAACATATTTAAATCAACCAAACTAAGACAACAATGTAACCAACTAGTGATATTTCATGAACATAACATTTTATTATGGTAGAATAATGTATTCTTTTTTTGCCTGCTGTAAAATTTTAAGCCATTTCACTTATAGTTTTAAAGCTGAAACAAGTCATATCTGCAAAATTGCATTCATCTTTAAAGTTTTATTTAAAGTTGTAAGTTATATTTAATACATAGCCATTAATACATCAGTGTTTCTTCTGCAAACAATTTACTGGTATTTCATTTGTTTCCAATGGTCAAGGTAATGGAAGGATAGTGGTCAGATACAGTATACTTGCTTTTTCTATGTGTTTAACCAAAAACACTATTTCTTTAATTTTTTTCTTTTTTGGTAGTGTAAACTTAATCACAAGTCTTCAGTGTCAACCTCTTGTGTTGTGTAAACCTGCCACCACCCCGGCCTCCCCTCTACAAATTCTGTTACACAGGAGAAAATGTTGTCAGTGAATAAATCATATGCAGCACTTCAGCTTCAAATTCGTAGGAACCCTGATAATTTGCATTGTCATCACTTTGTGATGTTAAACAGCTGATATCAAAAATGTTCTTCTGCTGTGAAAATGTGCAGTACATACATCTGACACCTCCTCCTCAGCAAGAGGTTTATATTGAATTAAAACATCAACAAACCTATTTGCAATTTTAAACCATAAAAAACCTAAAGAACCAAATTGTAGATGTTGCTTACAGGCTTATACACTTTGTATGTGAACATACAGTGCTATACAATTTTTTTAGTATATACAGTAGCAGGTTATTTTCATACAGATGTAACCTAAAGAACCAAATTGTAGATGTTGATTACAGGCTTATACACTTCGTATGTGAACATACAGTGCTATACAAATTTTTTAGTATATAGCAGGTCATTTTCATACAGATGTCAGTACCCACAAACATGGGAGGCATTAGTCATATTTTAAGTTAGATTTAAATTTGAACTTTTCAGTTTCAGTTTAAATGGTTGTACCTTGTGTCTATGACTTGTCACCTTGTTGCAAAAATCGAAATCCAAAAAACAGTCAATTAGCACCTTGAAGGAATAGTTTTTGGAAAAATGCATATTCCTGTCCTTTCTGAGTGACACGAGAAGACAGATATGAGTCTCATGTGTGTGTGGCCAGTGCAGAGCCGGAGTCAAGACAGGATTATCTTAGCATAAAGGCTGGAAGCAAACAGCTAGCCTGGCTCTGTGCAAATTGAAAGACCCACACCCACCAACACCACCAAAGCTCACCCATGAACATGCTGTGTATAACAGATGCTCATAGTGACTGTGCAACCTCTTGAAGTCTTGTTGCCCCAGTGAGATTGACATGTTTGGTACCCTTGTGCCATGACACAGGCCAAATCAAACCTGACCTTAAACTGGTAACCCACACTATAGCTGGAGTTGCTGAACAGAAGTGCAGGGCAGATGGATACATCGTTTATGAAACCACTTAAAACCACAAATTGCTGTTTTTATACTTCTCTTAAAGATGGTGCATGTTAATGAGTGAATATTACAGGTGTTGTTAGGTCTGAACTTTGGACAGAGCCAGACATGCTGTTTCCCTTTGTTTCCACTATTTATGCTAAGATAAGATATGCACATCCTGATTGCAGCAGTGTACTGGACAGGCATATAAGTGAGATATATACTGATATTCTGGCTCATTGTTTTGTTTGTATGCATGGATGTGTATACAGTATGTTTTGTACTTGTGCTATAATCGCTGGGGTGGTGACTGATCCAGTGATAGCGCTGAAAGACTGCATTCCAGAACAGCGAAGCCTCAGGCAGCACATGGTTCTCATATGATGACCTTGATGAGCATTATCAGACTGCCCCCAGCCTCAACACAAAGACAAACTTCTTACCTAAATAAATGTAGCATTCATTCACTCTACACTTATTCGCGTTATGTCACACAGGCATCCTCAGCTGGTTCGTGTTTGCTTCTGTTGATTATTCTGAAAAAACTTCATCAGAACTGATGAAGCCTCTTGGATGAGAGGTGAAACGTCTTCGACCTAGTTGATTTTTTTCTACGTTTTTTTCAGCTTACTATGACCTGGATAACTGAGAATCTGTACGGATCTGTTGATTATTTAATGATAACTACTGAAGTGACAAAAGCTGTTTTAGTGTTTAGTCATTAAAAGCCAAGTAACTGTTTTTAAAGTTTAAACTGTTTGAAATATACTGTAGAAAAGTATCAGGGTTTTGAATATGGTAACATTTTTGTTGTGTGTGTACTTTCCAAACAATGGTACTGTATGATGTTATCAAACTTTATTGGTTTAACAACACTCCTTATGCCCTCACACTGGATTTATTGTATCATTTGGACTATAACCTGTTCACTCTCCCTGCTTTTTTATTGCAAAACTGTGCAAAGTTTACACCATATGCATCAAAAGAAGTTGCATGTGCTTAATAAATGCATGTGTAAACTGATGTCAGATGTTTATTGTAATTGGTGAACAAGCAGAGTGGAAAACCATGCAGTGCAGTAAGTTTAAGGCTCCCTGCAGATGAAAGATACATTCCTACTCTGCATGTGGCTGTGTTCCTCAGACAGATTCCCAGCTGGGACCTGCTCTAATCTCCTGGCAACAATATTGACATAGAAATAGAGGAGAGGAGAGGGCTCTAACTGTCTGCATGTCACAACTGCCTGCACATACATCTGGTGCTCAGAGTGCCTCTACACATATATGTCTTATTTAAATTAGATACATGGTGGTTCTGTACATACAGCTTAACCTTAGAATATAAAGGAACAGATTATATCAGTTTAATTTGTGTGTGTGTTTGTCTTACTGGTGCTGCTTCAGAAATGACCAGTTTGTCACTAAAAGAAGTGGGTTTAAGAATGCAGAGGTGTGGACTCAAGTTACATAACTTGGACTCAAGTCAGACTCGAGTCACTAATCTGATGACTTTAGACTTGATTTAATATGATCAAAAAGAAACACCAGTGGCTTCACCCAATCCCTTTGACATGTAATGACTTCATGAATTCTGCGAGTTACAAAAAAGTGTGTGGTGGTTCAGCTTCTCATCTTGCTGACAGCAGTCAGCCTTTGAACCCCTCCGTCAGCAGCCATTCACGCGGGGCAAGCAGGAGGAAAAGGAGTGCTTGTGGGTGCAAAGCCACAAACAACAGATGATCCTTCAGACTGTCACACACAGATGTGCAGACTCTGCTGTGGTCAACAAACAACTGACTCTTCCTATTATTTGTGTTTATTTACTGTACTACTGTTAGTAATGTTTAAAATGGCATTCAACTTGTTGAGGACTTCAGATTTTGGGAGATTTCAATTTGACATGCAACAAACACGGTGTACAGCTGAGGTTGATGATAATATGATTTGTTGCGCAGCCAACTAAAGTAGTGATTGATAATATTAACTTTTGAATTGGCGATTGCACTAGATTAAAAGTCAGAGGATCACCAAAGACATTAAAATTCATCCTGAAGGGAACATGAATATCTGAATATCACAACCTATCAAACAATCAGCCTCATGCAAGTGCTAGAGGAAAAGTCAGATTCCCCAGAGTGAGGCTGTAATCTCAGAGAAACGTAAAACCTGGGTTGATCCACTGGGTAACACTGGATCTATTTCTTGAGCAACAACACCCAACTGTAGTTAATTCAGTGACGGGTTTGAGCTCTGACTTAAGTATCTGAGAGCGTGTACATCAAGCAGGTGTTGGTGTTGTTTAAAGATTCTTTTTGACATTGTTATGAGAGCTGTTTGTCCCCTGCTTTCAGTCTGTGTTGCTAGGCTGGCACAGCCATGAAACTAATATTAATATTGACTGAAAGTTTATGGCTGAAACAGTCCTAATCTCTGGGTGTCTTTCATGGTTTCATTTCAGGATCCTACCTTATCCTAACCCTGCTTGATATCTGCTTGCAACCATGTCAACCAAATCCACCAGCCGTGTTCTGGGTGGAAAGGCTTCTTCCTCTCCACTTTTGTCTTCACCACCCCGCCAGCGCCTGGTCACCAAAGATGGACACTGTGCCCTTCGTCCCCCTTTATACCCCTCAGGCTCATGGCATGGGTCCTCAGGCAGAGCCTGGCTGCTGGCCATGCAGGACCTATGGGGACTGGTGGTGGGGCTGCGCTGGAGATGGGTCCTGCTGGCTTTCTGTGCCTCCTTCTTGGCCCATTGGCTGCTTTTTGCCTGCCTGTGGTACTTGCTGGCCCACCTCAACGGAGACCTGGCTGTGCAGGATCATGATGACCCCCCACAGGGGCATGTAGTTTGTGTGAAATACATCACCAGTTTCACTGCTGCCTTTTCCTTTTCCCTGGAGACACAGCTGACCATTGGCTATGGCACCATGTTCCCTAGCGGGGACTGTCCCAGTGCCATAGCACTGCTGGCTGTGCAGATGCTGCTGGGGCTCATGCTGGAAGCATTCATCACAGGTACAAATGGCCTTGTCTCCACACACATCATTAACTCTGAGGTCATGCTCTCAAGTCAACCTTTAGTGGGCACATGAAAACTGAAGCTAATTATCATCTTGGGTAGAAATTAAGAAGATATGTTGTTTCTGGACAGTTGAAAGAGTGGGGGGTTGTTTTACATGTGTGGACTAGACATTTACTTTCCCCCTCCATCAGTCTTAGCCCAGCTAGTTATCTGCTACGACGCTTAACCTCAGCCAAACTTTCCCTTCCCTTAATCCCACACAGCAACGGCAAAAGAATTCAGATCTTCTACTTAAATAAAAGTTGCAGTAATCCCACTGTCTGTCCCAATATTCCAATGTAGTGCTGCACTGAAAATGTTACTTAGTTAAAATTAGAAGTATTAGCAACAAAATGTACTTAACATACCAAAATGAAAGGTACTTATGCGACTCAGTGTTTTTTGTTTGTTTGTTTGTTTTTTATGCATTTCCATGTAAGGAGCATGTTGATGTTTAGGTGGAGCTAAAATATATAAAACTGTATTGTGTATCCTGTTTATTCTACAACAATGCATAGTTTTATAAGGTAATCATTATTAATTTCTATGTAAAGACTAAATCTGTAAAACAACTAGTATCTACAGTTGTCAGAGGATTGTAGTGCTGCAAAACATTTCCCTCTATAATGTGGTGGAGTATTAATATAGAGTAGCATGAAAATCAAACTATTTAAGTAAAGTACAAGTAGCTCAGGTTGGCGTGGTGGTGCAGTGTCAGCACCATGGCCTCACAGCAATCTCACAACCAACTGGGGCCTTCCTATATGAGTATGCATATTCTTCCCAGGACTATGTGCGTTTCCTCCTGATACTCTGGCTTCCTCCCACAGTCCAAAAACATGCAGGTTAGAATGATTGGTGACTAAATTGCCCATAGATGTGAGTGGTTGTCTGTGTCTATGTTTCAGTCCTGTGATAGACTGGTGACCTGTCCAAGGTATACCTTGTCCATTGTCCATCTTACCCATTGTAATCCCCCTGGGATTCTTTACAGGATAAGCAGTATAGCTTATAAATGCATAAACAAGTTACTCACAGCTGTATTTAACTGGTGCTGAAATTGATTAAATGCATTTTGTTACTTTCCACCACTGCCAGCCGGTTATCTTTGAAACCATTTCATTAAGACCTGAGCCCAGTGTCAGAGGGCATAGTTTCAGGAAACACACTGACTGAAAGCACAAACTAACAGGATACCTGCCCTGGTGTTAAAGAATGGGCCAGTGACATAAAGAGAGTGTTGCATTGTTGGTGGTTTTAGCCTTAATGTTCATCCCTAAACATGTCTTATAACGTTGGGGAAAGTTATATTCAATTCAGTTTTATTTGTATAGCACCAAATGACAACGAAAGTCATCTCAGGACACTTTACAAAGTAAGGTCTAGACCTTACTGTTGTTAATATTATAGAGGAAAAACCCAACAAAGCCCCCTTGAGCAAGCACTTGGCGACAGTGGCGAGGAAAAACTCCCTTAAAGCCTTATGAAGCATTGAACCACTACGGAACAAAGGTGCTGAGCATAGTTCACAGTTTCCCAGCTTTTGCTGCAAACAGAACGTGACATCTGCTGGGCCACCCTGGGCATTGCGTTCATTCACAAGGATCTATGGTGAAACAGTGAGTTAGAGGGCTCTAAGCTGTTACTACATATATATATTCTTCAGTAAAGAACATACAGTCTACAGTTCTGTGTTTAAACAGTGTAGCAGATCATCCTTCATTCCAAACCATTCTGAGCATCTCTGATATGAGAGAAATGTAAGAACTCAGTGACCTCACTGGTTCTACAGTCCTGGCCAAGATCTGGGTGAACAAATGAAGTTCAATGAAACAACCAGCCCAAACCACAGGACAAAGAACAGGTCTGCCTTCTCATTCTGTGGTCTATACAGCCACACTCAGGTCAGAACTCTGCTGTATTTAGTTTCACCACTGCTGTGATGACAGGGCTTGTTCTTTGTTGTCAAATAACCGCAGTAGTATAAGTAAAGTAGTAATAGTTAGTATAAATAATGCATTTCATTACTGAATTACTTGTACTTTACTTCAGTATTTTCATTTTCTATTACTTTACACCTCTACTTCACTACATTTCAATGGGAAATACTGGACTCACTGCAGTACATTTATCTGACAATTATAGTTACTTTACAAATGTGATAAGTATGATGCTAAAGATGAAACCAATAGTCCTCTATGTTTTTGCCTTGTGACCCTTTATAAAGAGGTTCCATTATCTACTATTTCAAAAGAAAGGAAAGATTTGCACAGCAGTCATTTGTTTTTTGTTCTTTTCTCCCAGATTCATCGCCTCAAATTTATCTGGTGACCCTGGGGTTGGAATTGGCAGCACAAAACTGCCAGATTATATCTAAAGAAGATAAAATAGCTCCACCTGAAACAGCTCCAATAGTGAAAGTCTGCTCAAGCACTTATACAGTACATCAAAAATAACAATCTAATGATGTCAGGCAGAATCAGGCACAGGAGAGAGATGTGTCTGTAGAATGAGTACTAATACTTTTGATACTTAAAATATATTATGCTGATCATACTATGTATTTATTACGATGTGGTACTAGCACTTTTTCTGGAAAGTAAATGATCTACACTGAACAAAATTATAAACGCAACACTTTTGTGGTGTGGCATATCAAGATGCTGATTAGACAGCACGATTATTGCACAGGTGTGCCTTAGGCTGGCCACAATAAAAGACCACTCTTATCATCATATAATCTTATCATCTATAGTCATGCTGTCTAATCAGCATCTGGATATGCCACACCTGTGAGGTGGATGGATTATCTTGGCAAAGGAGAAGTGCTCACTAGCACAGATTTGACAGATTTGTGAACAATATTTGAGAGAAATAGGCCTTTTGTGTACATAGAACACGTTGTAGATCTTTGAGTTCAGCTCATGAAAAATGAAGGCAAACACAAAAGTGTTGCATTTATAATTTTGTTCAGTGTAAGTACTTCTTCAACCACTGCAGCCATGGATGGATTATGAGACATCAGGCCCCCTTGCACAGACATGTAAAAGCCCACCCCCCTACTGCACAACAGAGCAGGAGTCCCCAACTGAAAGAGGCACATAATGACTGCAGACAACCAGCAGTGGCCATTTTTATCTCTATTTTCAGTCACTTGGTGTCTCTTTGTAATTATTTTGTATCTATTTGTAGTTGTTTTGTGACTGTTTGTAGTTCTTTTGAGTCTCTTTGGTCATTCTGCACCTTTCTGTAGTCATGTCTGCAGTATTTTTGTGACTATATGGTGATTATGCATGTCTTTGTGATCATTCTGCATTTAAATGTAGACATTTTGTAGGTCATTGTAGTTATTTTGTGCCTCCTTGTAGTTGTTTGAGTCTTTGTGGTCATTTGTGGAGGTCTTTTTTCTTTTTCAAGTCAGTCAAACAGTCACATTAAATCAGAGGTTCTGGCCCAAGATCCCCCAAACCCTTGAGCCCCTGGGCTTGTCCCTTGTAGGTCCATTCAGTAATCCATCTATGACTGCATCAGAATCAGGTATTTACCATAGTATACATGAAAGCATGGGATAAACTGATGTTAAGAAACTGATGTTTCTCGGCCTTCCTTGCTGTAGTTGCTGCCTTATACATTATACAATACAACAGATACCATTTGTCTAACTTTTCTCCTTGTCACATGCACATATATACTGTACCTGACAAAACACAGGTTCCCTATGGTTTGTGAATGGAGCCAACCAAGGCAGACTGCAAGTGAGGTTAATGTACAATTTGATGTTCACATCCCCTTTAGTGACTAGGCCAAAGCACCAGACAGGCTGTAATACTGATGGGAATGCATGTTTCATATCAGTGCTATCTAGCTTATAGGAAGGATTCAGTCTTTATGGCCTAAATATAAATAAGTTTGACAAGTGAAATAGTTCCTTTTTAGAGCAGCTGCCCTGTTGGAGGTCAATGAACAATCTAAAGAATGATCCATTTAGCATTTACCATCAGCACATGTTGCCAAAATGAGACAGATATACATTAATGTTCAGATAAAGATTTTATGCTTTAGTTACATTTGGTGTAAATTCATTTCATCTTTCCAGGACATTTGGGGGTTTTAGCTCTGCTGCTGTTGTCAAGATCGGCAAAGCAGCATGTCAGTAACTTACAGTAACAATTTCAAAACATATCATCATATCATCATTTTAATCTGAATGCTCACTGTCTTACCCAACAGGTGCATTTGTAGCCAAGATTGCACGTCCCCAGAAGCGAGCAGGCGCTATCCAGTTCAGCCCCCAGGCAGTGGTGGGTCAACACCAGGGCCAGAAGTGCCTCTTGCTACGAGCCACCAACCTGCTACAGCGACCTTTGGTAGACGTAAAGGTGAGTGCTGTGCTTTATGAGGAGCACGAGGGACAGGCCCTGCACCAGACCTCTCTGGACTTTCACTTGGATCATTTGGGCCAGCAGCCCTGTCCCTTCTTCATCTTCCCTCTCACATTTTACCACACCCTGGACCGCCAGAGCCCCCTCTACCCTGCCCTATGTGAGGGTGCATCCAACCACTTTGAGTTGGTGGTCTTCCTGTCAGCCTTGCAGGAGGGAACTGGTGACTCATGTCAGAAAAGGACCTCCTACCTGCGCCAAGAAATCCAGTTTGACCGCCGCTTTGTCCCGGCCTTAGTACTTGATGCTCAGGGGAGGTACATAGTGAGCACCCAGCACTTTGACACGGTCCACTCAAAGGAGCTTTTGAACAAGGACTGTGTAGTGCAAATCAATGGAGATGGCAGCGATAGGATGGAGTAAGGATGATGAAAGCAAAGTGTCATAGGGACAGAGTGGAGTTTCTAAAGGGTATCTGGGGAGGGTAAAAACAGTGCAGATATTTTTGTCAGGAGCTACTTGGTAAATCTGAATTAATATTTAAACATCTGAAATTAAAATGTGTATCACACATGGGTGCTGAGTCCTCAGTGCACACCCAGGGTATCATCTCCCACTGGTTTCCCAGTCATCAATACTGACAGTTGCTTTGGTTGGAATCCCTGGCCAGCAGAGGGCACCGCTTCCAGGAACTAAATGAACAAAAAAGTGGTTTTATGATTGTCACTTTGGCTGTTGGTTCTATTGGTTAGAAGAGCATTATCACAACATCCTCACCAACTCACAGCTAGATTGCTAAATATACATTCTGGAGGACAAGAAACACGAACAGTCAGATGATCAGACAAGTTGGAAACAAACCCCCAGGTTAGACAGACTTATCTGAAGAGTAAAATGGCATCCATCACAGTTTACAAACCCACTTCCTGCTTTAGTTTTGACCTACTGTACTTATTGTAGTTGTCTGCACAGTTGTCCTGAGCAGTGAGGGCTCATTATCTGCTGTACAACTGTTTAACTGTTGGTTTGTGTACAGTAGGTCAAATCATCTCAATACTTGTGTTTGTTGTAGTGTTGGGCCTAATGTCAGCCATGTCTCTGCATTCTGAGATCTCTGCAATTACTATGTTGATTACAATGTTATCATACCTGATAGAACCAGTGGCCAGGGATGTGAAAACAATTTTTGTTGTAATAAATCACAGTTTTCTTTAAAATTTTTATCCAAATTAATTTGCATTTTATTATTTGTACTTATCACGTAATGTTTGGGACATGGACTGAGTATGACCAAGCTGTATTTGAAAATATTTAGCTCAGTTGTGTTGCCACAATGTGTAATGTGAACGCATTATATATTGGACAAACACACTACTCCAAATGAATAATTATGTTGCCCTGATTTATTTATAAGAAGATGAAATGTGATAGCTATGTCTGACCAACACATTCTCATCCCAGGACATCAACTGTTGACGCTTTGTCAAGGTCCTTCTGGTGTCTCATACTGACACTGAAGGGTACCTTGGGCATCAATATGAAGCACACAGGGTTGTCAGTACAAAACAGTGTTAACCCACTCAGCTCAGTGTGAGAAGCCAAAGGTACTTCATAAAATATGAGCAAACACCTTGGGTTTAGGAAAACCCTGGGTTAAAACGCTCTGAACAAAATGCACAATGTCTCTCGCTGGACTCAGACTCTGCTCACTTGTGGGAAAATTCAATGACTGGTGCAGGTGTGTTAACATCACACTGTATTGTATAGTGCCTGACAAAGCATTTGATGCCTTAGGAATAAGAATGTACTGGTCTGTTGGCCTGTGCTTGTGTCTCAAAATGGCAAGACTAATGGATAAATGTAGCTTTAGGACATATGTAAACTTGTGAGACATGTGAGCCCCTGTGTGTACATGGACATTTTTGACTTCTGACAATTATTTGAATAATGCTATGATCACATTAAGGTGTTACACATACGGGGTTTAAGAAAATAGCACAGAGAGAACTTTACTGTATCTATGAGTGAATTAAGACCTGTGTGCATGTTCTTCTTTTTGGTGTAGTGTCTCAGAAAGTTGTATCTGGCTTTAAAGAATGAATTTAAAATCTGTTTATTCAGTTTGAAATGAAAATTGTATACCTCGATTTACTGACATTTGAATTGATCAGTTCAGTTTCACAACAATTCATTTCCTATATTTCACATGCAAGTAAAAAAAAAATGGGCTCAGTTCAAAATCAAACCACTTTACAATTTCAAATTCTGAACTGCAGATTCAGATGTACTGCATTCACATCTGATCTCTGCTGGCACAAATCTCTGCCCTTATGTTAAGAGGTGGTGAGGCTGACTAATAAAGGTGTTAAAAGTAGTAATGATGAAAGTACATTACACATTTAGCACAAGGCATATGAAGTTCTCTAACTTCCTAACATTAACATTATGTCACACTTGAACCTGGTTTGAACCTTTGTGGTGAATGAATCAGTGGCTCTAAATTGCACAAAGGTGTGAATATGAGTGTGTTGTCTCTATAGGTACATCCCAAGTCTCTTATATGCACCCACCCCTACCAAACCTGTGTCCTCTCTGTGTGTCATGTAAGATGTGTGGAAAAGATGCAAGGAAAAAATCCGTGAGGAGAGGAGTCAATGAAAGATGTTCAGAGAGACATTAGACATCCTTTCCACTGAACCAGAAGTGTCCAATTACCTATTGATTTCCAATAAAGGGTCATGTCGGTCAATAAAAGACTTCTGCAAAGGTTTGTTCCATGTATCCTTGCTTAGGGCTCCTTCAGTAGCCTCCTCACTCGTCAATCCGCAGAGCACCTATAAGAGTCTCGGGAGGCCTTCGTTGAGGAACGATCATATAAGAGACTTGAGATGTACCCTATATCAAGTTACCCGTCTAGAGTGCACCCCATCTTTTGCTCTATGTCAGCTGGGATTGTCTCCTGACCCAGATCCAGGTTGCAAGATAAAATGATACTGAGTCCACATCTATGCTACTAGCCTCATCTGCAAAGCATTGCTTTGAGATAAATGCTAACGTCAGCATGCAAACATGCTCACAGTGACAATGGCTGTATTTATATTTAGAGAGAACCCTCCCAGACTTCTGTCATACAGTACACAGTATATATTGTAATCACACTAGACACTGACTCAAGGTGATAAAAACTGAAGGTGTGATAGAGGGAGAGAGGTGGAACGACGAATGAAAGGGTAAATGTTGATATTTTCTGCAAAACGTCCATATACTTTTATTAACTATAAAACTGAAGTCCTGACATTTGGAATCAGTCAGTGCTAACTGACATAAAGAGTATGTCTACTATGTTTATCATCATAGGGCGGCATGGTGAAACAGTGGTTAGTGCTGTCGCCTCACAGCAAGAAGGTTCTGGGTTCGACCTGGTGCCTTTTTGTGTGGAGTTTGCATGTTTTCTCCGTGCCTGTGTGGGTTCTCTCCGGCTACTCCGGCTTCTTCCCACAGTTCAAAGAAATGCTGCTTAAGTTGATTGGTGACTCAAAACTGTCCGTAGGAGTGAATGTGGGTGTGGGTGGGTGTTTGTCTCTGTCAACCCTGTGATAGACTGGCGACCTATCCAGGGTGGACCCCGCCTCTCACCCAATGTCAGCAGGTTTTGGCTCCACCACCCTTGTGACCCTCTTCAGGATAAGTGCTATAGATAATGGATGGATGTTCACCATCTTAGTTTACCATGTTAGCATGCTAACGGTGGCTAATTATCACTAAACATGAGGAAAGAATGATGGAAATGTTTTGCAGGTATTTGCTTATAAATTAAAGTACTGGAAAAAGTGAAATAAATCATGGGAATTATGGACCAACTGAACAACAGACAGACATTCACAGGTAACTAATACTAAAGTGTGCTTTGAAAAATGTACAGCAGACGTAAAGTACTGTATGTGTGAGTTGTACTGAATGGGTTGAAACACTAGTAAAGCCCTTAAAGTTGTAGATTTCATTGCCGTTGTTAAATCGGTCATGCAAAAATACTATTTGAATTGCACTATGAAACTGAAGTGAACATTTTCTGCATCATAAGAGAAGCATTTTTGGCACGGAACATCATTTTAGTCTGACAAACCTCAGCACCAGTCCTGTGAAACTGAGTATGGAATTAGAAGGTACTGCACACAGCTGATATTGAAAGTACAGTACCAATAAGTAAATAATTTCTATATAGGGTATTCATGTTGTTGATCAAAGATTTCCTCTACTAATGTCTATAGATTAGAAACAGATTACTATGTAGACCACCAACATGAGCTAATCACAACACAGCATCAACATGGTTGTACAGTAACTTTGTGGTCAATGTTAAGCAGCTAAGTTTCCACATTGGAAGACTTCTGGAACAAAGACAACTCATCAAAGACAAGCCTTGAAGTGAGTGATCTAATATTAGACTGATCTGCATGAAATGACACACTGTATGGCTCCAGAGTAACTGCTGATTGATTTGTAGATTAATACCATTATCTGAAAAATCTTTGCCTGAATCATTATACAAAGCAAAAATTATTGTGTTATGTTCAGTGTGTACATTAATACATGTCTCTTGATTTAGCAAAGAAAGCTAGCAAGCAGTGGTGTAGTAAATGTGTACTTGTATTTGGATTACTTTCCCTTTAAGGCTATTGATATGAAGAGAATCACTTTTATCTATATGGTTTAAATACAAATCATGAGATACAAATCAGAGGAAATGTTCCACTAAACATGATTGTGAAAGATGAGATCTCAGTGTATCTCACATGCTTCAGTGCCTTTGTACAGTGTACATTACATGAAATAAATATTTTCTAAACAAGCTTAGAAGTGGGTTAACTGGTGACTACTGGCGCTATATTTTGTGGAGGATGTACAACATGTCCAGCTCCCTGCTGGTGGAAGGCAGAACTACACATCAGTCCTTTGGCTCAAACCAGCATGTGACAGTAATGTTCATTAAATGATTGCTTTTAAGTGATCGGTTAGCTAACTGATTTAGCAATTTACCATCATTTATAAGACAAATTTAATAACTTTCCATCTCACATGTATCAAATGTTTTTCAATATGCATGTCTGTGAACTTCCATACACACAAATAGCCTGCAGCTCCTTATTGAAATGTAATGCCTCACCACAGCCGGCAGGCCAGCTCGCGTAGTAGGACACACACTGCTGCGGCACTATCAGACATCACCACTACTTCACCTGTGTGATATACGAGGCTTTGTCTTTGGCCGGCATAGTGTCACTTAAAGGAGCAATCTGTTGAATTGGAAGTATGAGATTGGACTCTCTCTCTCTCTCTCTCTCTCTCTCACACACACACACACACACACAAAACTACTACAACATTAATAGGTTTTGTATACCGTTTGTAATGTTAGAACTGATACTGTAGACTTGTATCTGTGTGAAATACAACTAGCTTCATGAATCTACATTAATACAGGATAAGGATAATCACCTTTATTGGCCAAGTATGTTACACACAAGGAATTTGTTTCCGGTACAGAACCAATGGCAGCCATCTGCAGCGCGCACCGCCAACTAACCCGATGGCTCTAACCATAGGGGGCAACCAGTGGAGGTTTTTGGCATTGGCGAACCGGGCAGCTGCCCGGGGCGGCATTTTTTCATGACAGGTGGGGGGCGGCACAAGCACTGGGAAAGAAAATAATCTGCGCCGCTAAGCGGTTTTCTATTATCTATCATATGTGGCGCCCCTGCTTGATGAGAAGGTGCCGTGCACAGAAGCTGTGAGAGGTGGAAAGGGGAGGGTGCAGGAGGAGAGTTCAGAGGGGGGTCTCACCCGGGGAGTAATTCAATGTAGAACAGCCACTGAGGGGCAACGGGGGGGTTCAGTGTCTTGCCCAAGGACACTTCGACACGTGGACTGCAGGCACCGAGATTCAAACCTTCTGGTTTGGAGACGACCGCTCTACTCACCGCACCACTGTAGCCTCCCGAGATGAAAAGCGCAGGTTCCACCTAGATTTGAAGTATTCAGAGTCCAGAGTGCTAACCATTACACCATATGGACGCGTTTCTGTCCGTTCCACTTTTTTGAATGCTTAGTGCTGCCACCTCATAGTAAGGTTTCCTCCGGCCAGCTCCCACAGTCCAAAGACGTGCAGGAGGTTAGGTTGACTGGTGACTCCAAATTAACTGTATGACATGTGTGAATGGGTTTCTGTCTCTGTGTGGGATGGATTGGCAACCTGCCCAGAATCTCTCAGTGCCAGCTGGGAGTGACCCCCGCGCCTCTACAGGACAGGTAGTATAGATAATGGATGGATGTTTTATATATTGTACATACCATGGATTCCACTTCTTTTTTTAAATATCAGTTTATTTGTTCTTTATTGCAATCAAGTCAAACGTTTTCATTCCGACAGAGTGTAACAACACGACATTTTTACAAGTGCCCAAAAATATAACTTATAAGTCTCTGCTCAAACAAATAATACTTTAGTCATGAAAAAATACATTATCCATTTCCACAACAAATACCAAAGAAGCTAAGTGATACGTATAGTAGTTTTGTTATTTAATATCATAAACATGCTACAATTTAAATACAGCAATAGAGTAAATAAAGGGTCAGAAACATGAACTGCACCTAACAATAAGAATGTTTCAGGGTTTCTTAGCTTGTTCAGGCTCAAGACTATTTCCAGATTTCAAAGGTCAAATCATATCAAAGTTGTCCAACAGGGATGGAGCTCCACATTGTCTATTTATAGAAATAAACTCGGACAACTAAACTTGTTATTTTTTTTATCATGTTATATATACACATTATATTGCAGCTTTCTTACCTTTACTTCTTTAATATCAGCACAGTACATCCGTATGTGAACACCAATGGAGTCATGACCTACAAGCTGACACACTGACATATGAGATCAGGTTTAGGATGGAGGAGGTTTTCTGCACATGGATATGTCATCTTTTTTTAGTTTTTAGGTTTGATGTATAATGGATGTGGTACATAGCCTGTTTGTGTCAATGTCTGGATGAACACGGCACACCCACTCTCAAATTCAAAAACACACGTACCAACACCTGTTAAGGTGATGTATTTCCACATCTTTCACCAATGTAAAAACAACAATTTGGGGTTTTGGGGGGAGTTACAGTATGTGCTACAGCAGCAGCTTACCCATCCGCTGAATAGTGCAGTGCTAGACAGGTGGAGCGCAGGGTTTTGGTGCAATCTATGTGCAGGTACAACAATACTACAGCTTACAGAGACTATAAGACCATGTGATGCTGAGCACACTCACTGTACCCATCCTTTAATAACAACTGTTTTAACATAGTTTCATCTACACACACATGACAAGATAAAAAGTGTTATATAGCTTTACATGTATTATTAAGTGTATTCTTTTTTGTTTATACAGTCAGGCTAGCTGTTTTCAGTCTTTATGCTAGGCTAAGCTAACCACATCCTGACATGTCATTCTCAGAGGGAAAGAAAACAAATAATATGTAAAATACTGAGCTGTTTGTTAAGTATCATGCTTGTTACACAGTCTGAGCTCTTGCTGTCTTTGTTACTAACCACACACATTCAGTCAGACTTGACTTGCAGAAGGCTGTTCAGCTTGTAACACAGCCGCCATACATTTTGTTGTAGAACAGCTGTTAGGGATTCCTGAGACTATGCAGGTCTCTTATGTTTCTGAGATGGAGATGAAGCCTATTAAGTAGGCCGCTGGACTGCAGCTGGGGTCTGTTGAGGACTCAGTCAGTTCAAGTGTACGTACAGCACCATCTCTCTGTTATCCTATTACTATATGAATATATCCTTCTGTGATTGGGTACGTCTTAGTTTGTGGCATGCTGTGACTGAACATGTAAGGTCAGGTGATCAGTATGTCAAAACAGACTTGGAGATTACAAGTTCCTAAGAGACAGCCTATGAGGGAAGGCCTAATCACAGATAATACAAAGCAATACATTATGGGGAATATAGGATCCAGTGTGGTGTCATAAATATACTGTAAATTCTTATGTCATAGTGTGTTTTAGAACAATGACTCACAACACTGCCTGTTAATTTAGTGTAGATCCACAGACTAAAGCAGACTGATGGAGGACGTGATGATGACACTCAGGACCCTCAGAAAGCTGTTGTAAGTACATTTGAATCAGAAGAAGGATCATTATCATACACTTAAGAAGGCAGGTCTACTGTTTTACAGTTAAACCACCCAAAGTCCAACTGTTGTTATCCTAACACTCGCAGCCTCCTTCAGTCACTTGTTATGCATCCAGGACTGTAGGAGATCTCTACTGATCTGTTTCACAAGGAAAACAAGCTAAATTCATTTCTAATATTTTAAAATCTCTAGTGTGTATCCTTCATGTGCTCTGTATGCTCTTGAAAATAGAATATTAAACTACACCATACACAGATTCACATAGCAACTTATCAAGTGTCTAACTGCTGAGATCATGAGAATTTAGGTCCTAAAAACAGAATCACAAAGCCTGAGAAACCCTGGGGTCTCAGATGAGTTGTCCTCCATCTGTGATCCCATGTGCTTTTACTAATGTTCACATTCAGTCTGCTGTTGTTGACCATGGTTTAGGTCCAGTATATACATGTAAAGGAGCTGTTTTTGTGCTGCTTTTTCTTCAGAGAGTGTGATAAGAAGATGGATGTCAGCCTCATGTCTGTGTGTTCGGTACAGAGCTGGATCACAACCTGTTAGCTTAGCTTAGCATAAAGACTGGAGGCAGGGGGAAGTGTTTCTGTAAAAAAAAACAAAAAAAAAAAACTGCCAGCACCTGTAATGCTCACCATTTACCATTTTGTAAATAACTTAAGTTTTTTCTTTGATCTCTACATAAATAGATGGTTTTAAGGGGCAGGAAATATGCTAAAACAACAAATGTGAAGCTATTATTCATCAAGAACGTTTCAGCACATAACTGCAACTAAAATCACAGTCATTTTTACATCTGTGTGTGCAGAGAGGTGTTGGCAGACATTTGACTTAACTAGGCTAGCCATTTCCCCTGCTTTCAGTCTTTATGCTAAGCTAGGCTAACCACGCCCTGACTCCAGCTATATACTGAACACACAGACATGTGACTGTTATATCAGCCTTCTTAAATCACTCCAGAGATGTTCACAAGTCACACTACGCACGTCTGAACCAAGTCCTATGTCTATAAATTAAAGACTGAGCCAAGGTTCAGGTCTTGTGTTGCCAATGTAACATGCCTATGCCAAGAGCATTTTCTCCTGTTGAATTGTATCCAGTGAATTAAATAAAAAGGTTTATAGTAGGTTCATACAGTGTCCACCTGAGCTGCCACAACCTATCCAACTTTTCCATCGGTGACTTCTGTGATCCTACAGATAAATATGGAAAGTGAATCTATATACAGTAATACTGTATACTTTCAAGGCAAACTGGAGGTGGAGTGCAAAACTTTTATGTCTCTTCGCTTTATCAACCCTGTGCTATGGCACAATATACTCGGTTATCAGTTTATTAGGTACACCAAGGTAAAACTAATGCAGTCCAATCCAGTGCTGCACTAAATCCTCCTTTATGGATGACAGTTCTCAGTTTTTGTTCTGACTGTTTTAGAGAGGTGTTGATTTAGCTGTAGGATCATTTTGAATTGTATTGTTAGAAGGTGTTTATATTACCTCGTCCATCCCATTTATACCTATGAAGTTCGTCTAAATAACACAAACGACAAACTGTCTGTATAATGCAGCATTAACTTCAGCCTCCTTATGGATCATGCAGTTGAATCAATTCCTCTCTGAAATTGTTTAAACAATAGAACATTATCACCTTCATGAAGGGGGATTTATTAGAGGACCACTGAATTACACTGCATTTGTTTTATCTTACAAATAAACAGACAACTGTAGGCCTATAAATTTAAGTGTATGACTGGTAATATGATCAACGCTGCAACATTTATGATGCACATTAACAGAATTTCTGTTTAGCAAATAACCAGAAGTCAGAAGTCTGTGTTGGCAGACCCTCATAGTGCAGTAAAGATTCACATTACCCAGAACAACTACATCAAGTTACAAAGATAAGGAGCTTAACATGAGCCGACACATTACAATAACAGCAGTGACTTTAACATAACACTACTTTAACATAAGGTAACTTAGCTAAAGGCTATTGGCATCCCTGGCACCTCTGAGTGGGTTGTCAAGCTGGACATGGTCAACTTGGTGTCTTATCGTTTCTTGCATTTGTTTATAGGAGCCAGTTTTTCTGTTAAGCACAGGGGCTTTGAAATCCTCATATCCAAAGGATGCAAGATATTAATTCTGTTACAAGTTGGCACTGCATGATGTGTGTTTTATCTCGGCATTACACGCTGACATTTGGCAGATGAACGCTATAACATGTTAAAGGTTTACAGAGGGTAGTAAAAACCAAAATTCGCCTCCTATAGAAATGTTGAAATACTCATATGGTTAAAAAGTCATTATTCATGAGTCCGAGTCAAGTCTGGAGTCAAATAGGTACGAGTTGTGAGTCAAGTCAGAAGTCTATTTATGTGGGACTCCAGTGCATCTCCAGTACGGGTTGCCAACTCCAGATCCCATCTCTGATTCACTCTCAGAACAAAAAGCAAATGAACAGGTTTTTAGTGAACTATTCCTTTAAAAGATAAGTTGTCTGATTTTGAATCTTGATGGCTAAGAGATTTTGGTGACACCGAGACCGCCTTTAGGAGATCAAATAATTATCAGTCTTCTCCAAACTGGTTTGTGATCAAGCAACACAAATCATAACCAAACTAATATAAATTCTAAATGCTTCACAAACATAACATATTGAACACAGCTTCACGTTGCCTGAACAAGCTCAAATTCTCTTGAGATGAAACCTTGTACAGAGGGACACAAAGGACAAATCCACAAAAATGCACAATAAATGATTTTTTTCATGAATTTGGAGAGTTCACAAAATCACTCAAACCATTTGAAGTCATGTTGTTGCCTTCTTTGTTATGGGACAGCTGCAGAATATCTGGTGTGAATAAATCTATCCTGTGATGTGTTATATCTATCTTTATATTTTTGTCATAAAGTGCCAAATTCTGAGACGTGAAACAGTTGTTCAAGTATAAGCAGGATGTGAAGCTGTTTTTAAAATCTCAGTAACTCTGACGATGCAAGTCAGGACTCTTATCTTCCACCTGTGAATGGTCATGAGCAGAAGTTGGACTGTAGCTGCTTGAAGGCGGCTTGTCTCTGCTTTTTCTCCACTTCCTGTCTCTTGCGTTCTTCCTTTTCCTCTCGAATCTCAGCCTCGAACTTGCTGCCCTGAGACAGAACCTGCATCTGATAACACACAAAATGACAGTGTTCCTTCCCAGCAACACAAATCATCCTTAAATCCCAGAGTCATGTAGGGCGCATGACTCTCTGTATCCACAGCTGTTAATGTCATCTTTGGACACTGCATGTTTTCCTAATTACACTACATATGTGCAGATGCAGCCACTCAATTGCTGAACACCATTCAGCTGGCGTGTGGTTACCGTGATCCTTCCATTAGCCCCCCTCTCCTAAGGCGTGTCTACATTCCACAGTAAACACGCCCATTAAAGAGCTATTCCCTGATTTGCACAATGTCACCATTATATGGAAGCCCATTTACGCCAGTACAAAATTTTTTTTTTGTGATCTACAAAGTCATAATTATGAGATAAAAAGTCGAAATTTTGACTTACTAAGTCATAATTATGAGATAAAAAGTCGAAATTTCGACCTAGTAAGTCAAAATTTCGACTTACCTAAGTCATAATTATGAGATACCAAAGTCAAGTGTGCATGCGCACTAGCTACCCGGATACCCACCATTACATACATGGCCTTAACATTAGCTCCTTAACAAAGTAGAATAGATCATTTTTATAAATATTAAACAACTGCAATCTTTAAACAGTGGTTATGTAGGAACACGAACTACCATGTTGCTGCTAGTCTTGCTTTGACCCTAACTGTGGGTTTTAATGTAGTATCAACGTTTCTGCCACCATGGTTCCCTTTCACTGTGAATAGAATCGATTTTGAGTACTTGACTGCTACGTGCAATAGTGCCTCACTCACTGCAAGACTGCTAACCTTACACGAACTCTCCAAGGAACTCCAAGCAGGTACGTGTGGCCATAACTACAGTATTATACTAATGATTGACTCTGATGGTGATTTTGCTTGTAGCTTATTGTTCATTTCCAATATTAAGTTTGTGGAAAACGCCAGCCAGTTCCCCATCTGCTCTCCAGGTTAGCTAGCTGGAGCTCATACTAAAGTCTACAGTAGCGTCAGCTCTGAACAAAACTACTGTAGTTTATGTTAAAAGTCTTTACCACTACTGTTCATATTACAGCGGAAATTCGAGGGTATTGTGATGCGCGTCCGCTCAGGTTGGCGCAGAAATTCAAGTAGAAATTCCCGTGGGCTGTACAAAATAGCGCCTTCTTACCTACAGTGCTAATGTTGCTAGTACTAGATAAGTAACCTACGTTTTACAGGCTCAGATTGTGTTTTTTAGACAATGTTAGTAGTGGCACTCGCTTGCTGATGTTTTGCTAAGTAAATAGGTTGTCTGTTTCTATCTGCTCTTGATATGAGCGTCATATGTTATTGTCCAGCCTTGGAAATTCAGAAATGTTGCTTATGTTATGTTACATTATGCTATTTACAATTAATAATACATGTAAATAATTTTGTCATAATATGAAATTGGCTGTGAAGATGCCCGAATGCTTGAATTTAATATTTTGTAATACTGATAAATGTGTAATTTTTAATGCCACATTTTAGATTTAATTTCATTTAACAATTTTTTTTTTTGCAGAGTTTGGCTGAACTGTGACAGGATGGATGAGCTAACTGACTACTTAAGGTCACGGCATGTCCCCGAAGAAGACATACAGCGAATGGAACAAGATAAGGTAGTTTGTATAGAAAAGGTTTTTCATTTTGGTAAATCACATAGACATCATAAACCCAATGTTTTGAAGAGACTGCTATATCTGGTGTGCTGCCTGCAGATTATTCATTTTTATAAGACATCAACAGTCAATTAATGTACTTTAACTTAAAAATGCATTATTTCTTTATTGTAGATTGATTCCAGTGTTATACGTCTCATGACAGATGACCAGCTAAGCCATTATCTACCGTCCTATGGTGATCGACTGGCTGTGTTTGGATACTGCAGGCGGAAAGACAAAGATCCCAGCACTCGCAAATCAAAA